ACAATCCCTTCTCCTTCATTCTCCTCTCAGGATCTTGGGCACGCACATACACGTGCCCAGCGTAAGTTTAAGCCACCAGGTCCGGGACTCAAACTGTGGTCGACTACATGGGAATCCAGCAACATAGCCATTACGAACAATTGCTGGTCCCCAAATACATTAGGCCTAATGTCTCATTGTTGTCTTGTACTCAGGTTTCACCAACTTGCTTTTAGTGTGAGGTCCATGGGCAATCATGTTCTCATAAATGTTTAATGATTAGTTGGTGGGGAGAGAGAGAGATAGAGCGCTCTGATTTATGGTATTTGCCAATTTCCATGGTGTAAGCACTCTCATCTTGGCTCATGTCAAGCCACTAATGTGATGATGAAAATTTAAGTCATGAGTCAGTAAGAGCAGACTACAACACCCCACTGCCACAGGCGTCTACTGCTGTTGGGCAATCTGGAGACCAAAGAGGAAAAAGTCTTCTTCTAAAAATAGCACTTGGTTGGGGACCTCAAGTCTCTAAGGGGATTCTCTTAGAGAACTCTATTAGAATACTTACCAGGGTCAGTTTCCAAAAATACTGAATTCGATCTTGTTTTTTCCTTAGCATATTAAAGAAGACATGTCTCCCTCTCAGAGAGAAAATGTTATTCTCTGGAAAAGGAAGTTGGCCACACCTGTCCCTGGAGCCCATTGGCGAACTGGCCCCTGTACCTATTGTAGGGGCAGAAACTATTGACATATTAACTACAGGAGAAAAGCTCTTTATATTCAGAAACCCAAAAGAGCCAGAGATCTCATTGCACATTCCTTCCAGAAAAAAGAAGAAGAATTTCCTGAATACCAAAAAGGCCACCAGGGCCATGGGCAAGGACTAGCCCAAGGGAAAACCCCACGGGAGCATCTGAAGACAGAAAGATTATTTTCTTCTGCCCACCTGTGTGTGTTTATAATGTACTTGCACTACATAAATTGCACATGCGTAAGACACAGGCACCCCTGACACACATTGATTTTCATGGACTCAGTTTAATTGGAATTTCCAGATAGCCCACTCTCTTCTGCATCAGAGAGATTTGAACACCTATTTCTTTAAATCTGCAGGAAATTCCTGCCCCCCCCCCGCCCTCCCCCCCCCCCTCCCCCCTTCATATCTCACCATCTGCTCATGTCAATTACAGGCTGTGTGTCAAAGGCAAAGTCCCCTGTTCTTATGGTTTACATTTGTTCCATATTCTATTTTATAAAGGAACCTCTTAAAAATAAATGTTTTGCACCAAGTTCTTTTGTTTTGGACCTTTTTAAAATTTTTTTTTCATTTCGTTTTCTTTTGTACGTTCAATCACATTATTATTTGGCTTACAAAATGGATATTTCAACAGGTGAATTTTTCTCCCTAGTACAGTTGATAAAACTACAAAGTATCTTCAACAGATAATACCACATTTCTTTGTGCCATTAATGCTTGCCTCCCTATTTTTCTTCTAAATGTCCTTCCTTAGACCCTCCTCTTGCACACACACTATATCTGGTAGTTACATCTACATACTGTGTTTCTATATCCTTTAGTCAATTAGTTTCAGTCATAGAGTGCGGACACTCGGTATGCATTAAGTGGAGACATACAGTGCCTTTAATTACTTCTTGTGTTTTGGCTTCCCACTGGGTGATAGATTTTCCCTCTGTCATTCCAGTTGCCAGAAAATATGCCTGCCACTGGGGTATACCTTTGCCAATTAAATCAGAGTTCTTTTTCCATTTTATAAGTTAGGGAACTCAGAGGCTTAAGAAGGTAATGTAAGCTTTACAAGATCATTAAGCTAATAAGTAACAAAATCAAGATTCACACCTTATGGCCCCAATCCTTTTGCTTTCTCCTGGCCTTGCCCAATGGACACAACAGCACTCACTGCTGGCTGAGAAATAAACCACGTAAGAGGGGACCTCAAAAAAAAAAAAACTAGAAAAATTATATTAAAGTACAAGTTTATTTTGGTACAAAAAATATTTGAAATCTGTGCATAGTTTGTTCATAATACACATTTTGCATGGAACTTTTTGCTGACCACTGGTATGAGTCCTTGCAATCTACAAAGTGCTTGTTTGTCCTGACACTTAATCCTCACAGTGGTGCCTGAGACTAGTGTCTCACTGAGGCCGGGTCATATAGTTGCATGAGCTTTTCTGAGAGCCAGGCAGAAAATACAATTGCAATGGTTTTTTCCTGAGGGTAGGAAGTGATTAGTAAGGGAATTCTGTCACCAATAAGGGGAAAGGAAGGGATCAAGATGAATTCTTGAAAGTTGTTGCTAGACCTTTCTAACTACGTTAACCCACTTCTTAATCATCACTGAGACTTCAGCAGGGTGGGTATCACTATTCCTATTTTATAGCTAAGGAAGCTGGGACTCAGAGAGTTTAAGTAATTTGCCTATAGTCACACAACGGATAGAAAAGGAATACCAGGTTCAAACCTGTATCTGCTTTGGGACAGCTAGTATCTGTAATTGAGCCATAAAATAAAGTGACTCCCTAGTATAATTACTCTTGGGAGTTCACCTAAATAGAGTAACCCTTAGGCCCAATGCTTACCTAATGAAAGTTAATAACCTTGCTGAGTTTTTGCAGATACTAAGCTATGGAGACAGGGCGGAGAAGGAAGCCACCAGTCTTCTTCTGCAGAAGCAGCCGAGAAGATTGTGTCAGTTTTAACTTTGCATTGCGAAGCCACACTCCTGTGCAGAGAACTGAACTGGTCATTCTGCCCTGCTTGCTGAGAATGAAATCTGCCCCTCAAGCAGTGACCACCTTCCTGATGCCATCAGGTCTCCTCTTGATCCTGTTGGAAGGCAATGACCATTATTTTTATCCAAAGACAATGAATAACCTGCCCTTTGCTTCTAGATGTACCCTCACACTGACCTCTTCCCCTATGTAAGCGCTATATCTTATCCAGTACATATGGAGTTGGTTAAGGATTCTGGTCTGTTCTCTTCCTGGTGCTCTCCTGACTGAAATAAATTCCTTTCCTTACTCACCAACTCTTGTCATTTTGTCAAGTGGCAAGAAGTATGGACTTGATTTCTGGTCCCCCGGAATGAGCATCAAGCATCCCTGCTAGTTCCGGCATCATTTCCAGTGGAAGCTTGAAGACCAAGTCTTATTTGCAATTTCCTATCAGCATGTGGGTTGTACAGTGAACACGGACCTCTGCCTGGTGGTGTACTTCTTCCGGAGGTGGCTGTGTACCCTCATAATGAGCTACCAGTTGGCTGCATTGAAACATTAGCAGGTACGCACAAGTGAATAGTGCAGATGCAGGAGAGACAAATCACGGGGCTGGTATTTCATCAGGAAGTCGGGTGGGCAGAACAGTGATTTTCAGAAACAAGGGCAGGAATGAGATGCAACTGGTTCTGTAAAGGTTTGGTGTAGGGACTGCTGAATCTATGACCTTCTCTACCTCTTGAAGGTGAACATTACTTTTCTGATCATTTCCTGCTTCTACTAGTGCTTTGCTAGAATTATGCATGGCTGAAAGTGGATTGCATACAAGGATCTCAAAATATAACTCAAAATTATAGGCCAACGGCTGATTTAAGAGGCTATTTAGCAACAACAGGAGGTGCCCAAGCTGTTCAAAATCCTGTGTTTGAACCTAATCATAACTCCCTATGTTAATAGAGAGGGAAAGACTAACCACTGATTTACCTTTTATAAACTTATTGCATGAAAAACACCAAGGTATATTGGGGAAAGCCTGTCTTCCTGAAATTAGGTGTGAAGGAGTTCAGGAAATGCCACCTCAAAATATGCTGTTTTGATATGTCAAGTACTTTGAACAGAGAGCACATGAAGAACAGCCTGTGTCAGCAAAGGCTTTCTCTGAGCCCCCCTCCCCCCTTATCTGCCTAAAGGCTATCCTACAAATTGAACTCAAGTGTCATGAATCCCCTCCAGGGAAATCTCATCAACCAGAGAGGATTAACTGGATTATAGAAGAGGAGACTGGAGGTTGAGACCACACCAACGACCTCTTCTGAGGACTGCTCCAAGACAACTTTTATTACCTGAGAGACCTCTTACCTGTGCAGAGAAAAAAATCTTTATTCACCATACACTCCTCCCCTTACCTTTCTATAACGTGTGCTGCTAATGATCTGAAGAGACCCTGAATTCATGAATAACTTAGGGCTAATAGCTTCCTGAGGTTTCTTCCCCTCTGGCAAACTTACTGCCCCTTCCTGGATCTATGGGGTAACCTGAAACTTTGAATAGGCTAAACTTCCTGCTTCTCAGCCACCTCCATTTTAGGGCAGGTTCTGAGCCCCTTCCCCATTCCTAACATCCCGAGACCCGCCCATCTCCAATTCCCCCATAAAAGAACATGTCCAACCCCCAGTCAGGGCTGGAGATTCAGAGTGTTAACTCCTCTGTTTCTGCCAGTGTAATAAAGAGTTCTCCTGTCTCTCCTGAGTACCATTTCTGTTCCTCAGCATCTGCTTTTCTGTAACATTTGGTTCGTTGGCTAGGAAATGGAATCAGACTGGCCCTTTGAGTCACTGATCCCAGAGTGTTTCCTCCCGGGATGGGCAATACGGTGTGGAGAGATAGGCGTGCCCCTCTCTCCCTGTCTCATTTGACAGGATCCCTCAGCTGGGCTGCCTGCCCCAAAGCCAAGCATTCCTGGATTATTGAACTTCGATTGGAAAGAACAACCAACTCCTGGACCCTGATGCATCAACCTTGTTCAGCTCTCGTAATCTGGTAAGTCCCTGAGGCCAAGTAGAGGCCAAGTTAGACTTACTCAAATAGAGTAAAGGGGGAGGAGACCTGATAACTCTCCTTCAGTCACAAGACTGGCAGCTAGGGTTCATCTGGTAATTGGTTGGTGTAAGGAGGGAATGTGTAACCTCTGAATGAATGTGAGTGTTTGTGATGAGCGAATGTGTTTGTGGCTCCACGGCTTCTCACCACAGAGAATGATTGGGTCCGTGGTTGCATTTCTGTGGTAGTTCCAAAAAGGCTAAGTGGCAAAATTGACACTGGGGAGCACTGTTCCCCTCTATGCATTCAATCCAGAGGAGGGCTTATTTCTAATTGCTTATTGCCAAGGAACTACACAAAGCCCATGAGGGACACAGCCAGACAGACCCCTGGTTGGTCCCCTATGTCTGTTGTAACACTGTTCATGGGAGGAGGGACACAGAAGCCAATGGGAGAGTTCTCCCTGTAGAAGTAGATAGGCAGAGTAACAATGTCAGGTCACTGATTCTGTCCTCAGAGGCTAGGACACAAGTTCCTCCCAACTGTGTTGAAAAAATCCTCCCAGAGCCCGTCATGATCCTCCTACAAAGACTTCCACTGCGGAGCGAAGCCTGCACATGCTGTCTAAGGAAGGAGAGGGCAGGCATCAATCTCTACCTAGACAACCTCCCCTCATCGACTAGCTTGACAGATTTTTGTGCCCTTGTCCTCCTCCATTCCACCTGCCACCCACCACAGAAATACCCCTCTTGATTGGAATACCGAGAGGATGCATCCCAGAGAGAGACCACTGTGGTCCTTCTGATTGCAGCCCTTGGCAGGGACCCTCCTGCAAACGTGAACAAACTTATCACCTGTGCTGCCTGGCCTCTTCAGCAGCATTCCCAGGAGTCTGCACTGTTTCTGAGCCTCTGGGCTAAGGCCCACCCCCAGGAGCCACTGTCACTCCCAAGTCTCCTCATCTAGCGCTTCCTCCAACCAGTGATTTCTCGAACCTTCTGGGAAGTGCAGGATTTTGATAACTGGAGAGGTCAGAGATATTTGAGATATGATGGGAAAATCTCCACCCAAGTCATCCACGCTCCAAAATCAGGAAGGCTTTTGCTGGGATGAATACCACCCAGCTCCTAGAGATTGCTAATAGTGTCTTCATGAACTGAGACTGAGAAGAGAAAGGAAGCAGATCAACAGATGAAGCAAAAGGCAACCAAGTTGGCCGCCACCCTCAGACAACTGGATGCCCCACCTGGTGCAAGAGGGGGGCCAAAACCCAGCCACCCCAGGCTTAGACCAACCCAGTTCACATACTGCAAAGAGGATGGACACTAGAAAGGTGAATGCCCCAAGCAGAAGACGAACTAAGGAAGAACAATCAGAAGCTCACTGGGAGCACCCAAGACTTTCCACTGAGAGCCCCCAAGAGACCTCCTACCCATGATGGAATCAGGCTAGGACCAACTGGACTCCATGATCATAGGCTCTCAGGAGCCCCTAGTCAACATCA